GGAAATGCAGGACAACTCATGGAGTGTTAATGAAGTCCAGGAAAAATCCCAAGGCCAGAGCCCATCCCAAAGAAGTGTTAAAGAACAGCCCCCAGCAAACTTGAAGGTGCTGACTCAGAAGTCCTTCCTGACCAGATTACTTCTTTGGCCCACCTGTGTCCCACCCCTCAGGCCTTCCCACCTACATTCCATCACCAAAACTATAAAAAGGGGAGACAACCCCACTTCCACGGATTCCACCTCTTGGGTCCCCTTCTTCCTGCGGGAGAAGTCTTTTCTGCTGTCCTTTAATAAACTTCTAATTTCTACTCTGACCTTGCCTCGGCGTGCTTCTTTGGCGTGCTTCTTTGGTATTATTCTTCAACTTAGGGGAAGCAAGGACTCGTCACCGGTCAACAGCGGTAACACTGTGATTAGACTGGGCCCATTTTAACAATCCAGAATAATCTCTCTGTCTCAGTGTCTAAGTGTAATTTCCTCTGCCAGATCTCTCTCTCTCTCTCTTCTTTTTTTTTATTGGTATGGGGATTGAACTCAGGGGCACTCAACCACTGAGCCTCATCCCCAGCCCTATTTTGTATTTTATTTAGAGACAGGGGCTCACTGAGTTGCTTAGTGCCTCACTATTGCTGAGGATGGCTTTGAACTTAGGATCTTCCTGCCTCAGCTTCCCGATCTCGGTCTCTGGGATTACAAGTGTGCATCATCATGCCTGACTTCTTGATTTCTATGTGTCCTGGGCATTTTGAATTTTACATGTCCAACATACAACATTTAATTCTTTCCCCATCAAAACTCTGCCCCCTAGTCTTTCCCACATCAGCAAATGGCAATATCATCTACCTTGTTAACTCAAATAAAAACCTAAAAACTGGGCTGGGGCTGTAGCTCAGTGGCAAAGCACTTGCCTAGCATGTGTGAGGCATTGGGTTCCATCCTCAGCTCCACATAAAAATAAATAAATAAAATAAAAGCATTCTGTCCATCTACAACTACAAAAAAAAATTTAAAATAGAGCCAAAAACCTAGGTTCTATGTTTAATTCTTTCCTTTTACTCCCTACATTCAATTGTTCAGCAAATCCTGCTGAGTCCAATTCCAAAATATGTCTACCTTTATTGACACCATTGTACTTCAAGCCTTCATTTCTTGCTTGGACTTCTGAAATCACCTCTTAATTGGTTTTCCCACTTCCAGACTTGCTTGCTTCCACTCCATTCTCTACATAGCAACCAGAATGATCTTTAAAAAATGAAAGTCATATTGCTTTTCTGCTTAAACACCTTCAATACTTCCCACTGTATTTAGGATAAAATCAAACTTCTATCTCTGGCCTAAGTGGCCACATAAGATCTGGCTCTTAGGATCTGGAGCTGTCGCTCAGGGCTAGAGCATGTGCCTAGCTTGGGCAAAATCCTGAATTCAATCCCCAGTGCCATAAACAAATGAAACAGATCTGGTTCTCTAATCCAACCTCATCTCACAGTACTTTCCCACTTCCTCACTGCACTCTGGCTACACTCCCCAAACCTTTTCCCACAACCAGATTTTTATACCTGTTCTTCCCTCTGCCAAAAGTTTCTTCTTATTTCTTTTCTTTTCTTTTCTTTTTTAAGTGAGCTCTATTTATTGGTTTATTCTTTTTTTTTATTGGTTGTTCACAACATTACAAAGCTCTTGACATATCATATTTCATACATTAGATTGAAGTGGGTTATGAACTCCCAATTTTACCCCAAATGCAGATTGCAGAATCAAGGTAGCAGAATACAACAATTACTAATAGGGCATTATGTAAAATTGTGGATGTGTAACCGACGTGATTCTGCAATCTTCTTATTTCTTTCTATGGTTGGCTCATTCTTTTCCTTTGGGTTTTATCTCAAATGTTTCCCTTGGAGTGGGCTTCATTGACTCCTTGATTTAAACCGGTTCCCTCTTTACCTCATAATCCTTTAATAAAGCACTGTTTATTACCCTCATAGTGTAACCAAAAGCTTGGTCCTTGTCCCTGATGCCAATTCAATAAGGAGGTCACAGGAAAAAACTTTTTTTGCTATACTAACAAAGGAGAAACACTGGGAACTCCTGTCCCAGAGGCTGTGATTCTGCCCATTCGGGAAAATGGAGGGCTTTTAAAGGAGCTATTCAAAAGCCACATTCCAGGTGTGCTCTGCAAGGGGGGTCCTAGGGCGCCCTCCTGGTGTGTTAGTAACAATTACTTGTTAATTTGGGAGATAAACACTTCCTAGATTCTCTGCCTGACAACTCCTCCCTATGGTGCACAGATAATTCAAGGTAATCTTATTCCCTGCCCTCAGGTTAGGAGGGGGAGAGGGAGAAAAGGAAAAGGAAAACATGTCCTTTTAAAAAAATACACCTCCGAACTATATTCAAAATATATGCTATTGACCACTGTTACAATAGCATAGCATTACAATGTATAATTACCTAACTATCTATTAGCTTACGTGTTTATTGACTGCACCCCATGAGTGTAAAGCTCATGGGGGCAAGAACCTTATGTGTCTTTCATACCATTGTGTCCATACTACCTAACAGTTACTGCGTGCATGAAATGTCTTCTCACTCTATCCCAAACACTCCTTCCTTGCTATGACATTGCTTACACCCAGCCTTCAAACTGCAATGGCTTTCTATTCTTGACCAATTAGTATTTCAGGGCTTAGTTCAAGACTCAATACCTCCAACAGCCCTCGTTCTTTATTAGCCCATCCCCCTGTAATGATACCTTTAATAATTTATTCAGTTAGTATATATTGAGCTCCTTGGCAGTCTTGCCAACAGTTGAAACTACATCATCAAGCCTTTTCTTGTATTTGCTTTATAATCATGGTCATGTCATGCATGTATGTATGTTTTATTTCTGAAGACTGTAAGTTACTCCTGGGTCAATATTTCATCACACCTCTTTATAATCCTCATGAAGTACTTAATCTTGTGTGGTGCACACTGGAAATGATAAAATAGAGCAGGAAGACAGAACACTTCCTCATACCTTTGAGAGCTACATCCCCAGTCCTTTTTTTATTTTTTGACAGGGTCTTGCTAAGTTGCTGAGGCTAGCCTTGAACTTGTGATCCTCCTGACTCAGTCTCCTGAATTACTGGGAATACAAGCATGCAGTCACCAAAGAGTTGTTAGGGGGTAGGGCTGGGGTTGTACCTCAGAGGTGGAGTGCTTGTCTAGCATGTGCCTTGCCTAGCATGTGTGAGGCACTGGGTTTGATCCTCAGCATCACATAAAAATAAATAGATAATTAAATAAATAAATAGAAAAGTATTGTGTCCATCTACAACTCAAAAAAAAAAAATTAAGAAAAGAGCTGTTCGGAAATGAGAAAAACGAGGCACATTCTTTTTCCTCATTTTAATTTATTGAAAAAAAATCAAAACTGCAGTTTAGGAAACATTTCTGTGATAAGTAGCAAGAGTTTAGCTATTTTATAGTTGTAGAAGAATATATAGCAGGGCCTGGGGCTCTAGCTCAGTAGTAAGAGTGCTTGCCAAATTTGATCCTCAGCACCACATAAAAATAAATAAAATAAAGGAAAGGCATGCTGTTCATCTACAACTACAAAAACAAAGGCATCTATAGTGTAATGACAGATTTGTGGGACCCCAGTAGACCTCCAGGAGCCAAATCCGATGCAATCACACAAGAGACTTTATTGCAAGCTCAAGCCTGGACTCACAACCGTTTGTTTCTGATGCAGCGGTCCCAGGGAGTGAGTCCTGGTCCTTTGTTCAGTGAGATTTTATAGGTTTTGGGGGGATACTTTATGTGTCACAACATCACACAGCAAATCATTCCATACCTCCAGAAAGTCAAACAACAATCTTAACATTGAGTAGCACATTCACTGGTGGGAACATGTTGGGTAGGGGTGATTGGTTAGTACAAGAGGGGGATTGTTTGAACTGATTGGTTTAGGCCACGAGGGGTGTACGTGCTAAACTACATGGTTTCCCAACATGTTATCAACCACCATAAACTACTGGGGGATCATCTGGCATCCCAGGCATTTTCCATCTCATGCTGATTGGTGGTTGCTAGGGGGTTGCTATGGGTCCTCACCTAGCCTAACTGAGTCAGGGACACCTGGTGCTGCAGATCTCTCCTGTTATTTGCAGACAAACAACTCAGCAGGGTGAGTATGTGCTTAGGAGTGCTCTGTGGGTTTTTCCTAGGACAAGGGTCACGCCCCCTTCCTTAGGATAGGCCTTGAGGTAGAAGCTGGTTTCTCAAAAATGGAGTCACATCAGTTTCTCAATAGCAGATATACTATCAAGTATATAACCTGAGGTTAGGATTTTAGATTTTGTACAAAACTGTTTTTGAGGCTTTTAGAGCTTTTTGAAAGGTTGTTTGCTTCAAGGGAAAGAAAGAATGACAAATATGAACTAGGAATTTGCCACCCTCCAAACTCTTTAACAGATTGGGCTACAGATAAAATTTGCATGTGTGTTAACCACCATTCCTTGTAAAACTGTTAAGGTCTAATCTATACTGTAGTGTGTGCTCTCAGAAGTTAGCAAAGGTTATGAATTCAGGAACAACTGGTATGGGTTCAGGTGAAATGAATAAAACTAGGCAAGCAGTTTGTGTGTTCTAGCAGTTGGAAAATGAGTTATTTTCATGTATCTATATAGGACAACATTCTAAGAGTTTAATATTTTAATATAAGTCCAAGGCCAGCCTCAGCAACTTAGCAAAATATTATTTAAGTGTTTAACCATAGTTTTAAAACTCTGATTAGTAACAAATGACCAATACAACATTTTTTTCCTTTGGAAAATAAATTTAATAGCAAAAATACTTTTAACATACTGAAAAACCTTAGTGTGTATCTGAGAGAATGTGTGCATGAATTAACAACTTAATGTTAGATATTAATGTATTTTAAATGAATAGATAGGCACTATTTGAAAAGGTATAGTTATATGAATTTTACAAGAAATCTTCAATGTGGAACAATCATGCAATTTGACTTTTAAAAATTCAGTACAGATTATTAGCCTAAAGTGCTTTTATTCTGTTACTTTTTTAGGGGGATATGTGTCAAATGTTCCTTTTGATTCTTCCTAGGCAACTAGGACATCTTGTGAGAATAACATGATTAAATAATTTATTTTCAGGGTAGGCTTGCAAAGCAAGTGAAAAAGGCAGAGAATTCAGGCCATTTGAACTGTACGTGATTTTAGTCAGAAGATCTATGGGGCATAATTTTGCAGTCATGGTAAAAACTGCCTTCCTGAAGCATAGATTCTAAGCCTAGGATGCTTCATATTTCAATAGAGGTTGGTTCTACTATGGTGTGGTTAACTTTTAAAAGTTAAATGTTTTCATTTGGTTTCTGTTAAGGTCTAATCTATATTATAGTGTGTGCTCTCAGAAGTTAGCAAAAGTTATGAATTCAAGAACAACTGGTATGGGTTCAGGTGAAATGACCAAAACTAGGCCAGCAGTTTGTGTGAGCTTTGCATCAACTGTGAGTAACCCTGTGGCTGAGTTTGTGACATAGATTCTACTTGATCATTTCATCTACTTGTTACTTGAGCTGTCGTGGCAATGCCCTTTCGTGTTGTGTTTCTATTCAGAAGGTAAATTGCACATTTTGTCACTGCTATGTGTTGGTTATAAAATCTGGTAGGAGGCTGTCAAGACATAGTAGTGTTGAGAAACTTCATGGCACAGGTGTTCACGGGACTCTAAGGACGTATGTGGCCAAATTGTGTAATTTCCAAAAATGGCAACCAGAAATACCCTCTTATTACTCTTCAAGTGGACAATTATGAGACTACATTTATCTCCAATTTCAACATGTGTTCAGCTAGTGTGCTTCTAGTTCCATTCAGTTCTACATTGTTGGTTTTTTAGACTCTAGTTTTCTAGTTTTGAAGAACTTCCTTAATTCCCTTAATTCTTGGGGCTTCAAACTCTGGTCGACTCCTGGGGTCAATTTATAGCTCAAAGGAGACACGATGTAACCATTTTGATAAAGACAGATTCTCTTGCAGAACTCAAAAGTGCTAAACATAACTCCAAAATATGGAACTACCTGTTAAAACAGAAAATGAAAATTGTGTTAAACTCTTCAAATATCAATGTATCTGCATCAAGATAAATCAGGACAAATTGACAATAGCTGTGGGCAATACAACATGGTAATTATTTTTGAAATTGGGGAGAGGGCAGAAAGAAGGCTGGCACAGTATGGATGGGGGGAGAGGGATGACAGCAATTGAAGGGCATGCTCTGAGCAAGCAGTGGGCCTGGATTAATACGCATGTAGACTCCTGACACTGCCTGTCAATATATATGCTGGCCTTGATTGGAATCATTTATATATCAGCTAGTGCAAAGTTAATTCAGAGTTCTTAACCTTAACTTCTGGATCATGGAGTTCTTTGGGAATATGATACACACATGCGCACGCGCGCGCGCACACACAGGCACACACACACACAAAACACAGTTTTGCAGACAATTTTAGGATGAGGTTAGGTTCCCCTAAGTGGTCCATGAACCCCAATATTAGGAACCTGTAGACTAAATGCTCTTCTCATCTAGGGTGGGAGAGAAGATGATCCACCACTGCACAGGGTCTCCTTTCTTCAGGGTTGACAACCAGCCTGCATCTATGGGCCTTATGCTACCATCAGTGCTAGTTGGTGTGTTTCCATGTATACTATATGGGTGGGGAAGGTGACAAAGAAAGGGGGTAGAACTGGAAGAGGCAGAGAGGCAATGGACTGGTCACCCTTCTCACCTTTAATAAGTTGGCTGTCAATCCATTCCAGAGCCCCAGTACCCCTTGGGCCTTCACTATCTGCCGGAAGCAGTCCACTGCTCCTGAGAAATGAACATCTACACCTCCATAGTAGGGAAGATAGGGGCTCTGAGCCTGGCAAGAAATAGAAGGTGGGATGAAATTATTTAAATGCCAGGAAATAAATGTCCTAGTCAAAGAAGCCAGGGTCTCTGGACTCTGGATGTATGCTCCTGGCCAAGATGATGGCAAAGAATGGCTGCCACAGGGACTTGTTCCATAGACTTAGAATGAATATTAACATGGAATAAAACCATGATGCTCTGTTCATATGCTTATGGTTTATTTCACTTGGAAGGAAGCCAGCATTTGGGACAAAATTGATTTTATGCTTACATTCCCTCCCAGCCTATGCCCTCTGGAAATGATAACATTTTTAGGGGGGATGGGGTGTACTGGGGATTGAACTCAGAGGACTCAGCCATTGAGCCACATTCCCAGCCCTATTTTGTGTTTCACTTAGAGACAGGGTCTTACTGAGTTGCTTAGTGCCTCACTTTTGCTGAGGCTGGCTTTGAACTCAAGATCCTTCTGCCTCAGCCTCCCAAGCTGCTGGGATTACAGGCATGTGCCACTGCACCCAGCTTGGACATGATAGCATTTTAGAGTTTATTTTTCCGGTTTTGAAGAACTTCTTTAATTTTCATTAATTCTTGGGCCTTCAAACTCTGGTTCAACCCTGGGTTCAATTTATAGCTCAGAGGAGACAAAATGTAACCATTTTGATAAAGGCAGATTCTCCTATAGACTCAAAGGTGCTAAACATAACTCAAAATATGGAAGTAGATGTTAAAACAGAAAATGAAAATTATGTTAAACTCTTAAAATATCAATGCATCTGTAATGAAGACAGATCAGGGTAAACTGACACTTAACCTTTTTAGTGCCTTCCTGAAACTTTGTCATAACTAACCTGTCTCCTGGGAAGCTATAAAGTGGGGGCTGTTTACTTATTTCCCTATATCACAGTTGTCACAAGGTGGGGAACAGAGTGATAGTGTGATTGTGGTGTTTTTGTAGCTCCCTGTTGCTGTTCGTAGACCCTTACTCCTTCATTCTCATGCCAAAGTGTTCATCTGGGGCTCATGTTTCTTAACTGCATTTGTTGTCCTGCTATCATCTATTGACCTCCTGGCTACTTTTCCACATTCACTGAAGACTGTATGACACCTGATGGCTCACCCTCACCTAGCCTCACCATCAACTTAGATAACTTTTTAAAAAAATTTTAATTTGTTATATATGACAACAGAATGCATTACAATTCATATTACACATATAGAGCACAATTTTTGTATTTCTGGTTGAACACAAAGTAGAGTCACATCCTTTGTGTCTTCATACATATACCTAGCATAATGATGACTATCGCATTCCACCGTCTTTCCTATCCCTATACCCCTTGCCTTCCCCTCCCTCCCCTTTTCTCCTTTGCCCTATCTGGAGTTCATTTAATCCTCCCCCCAACACACAGCATATTATGGACTGCCATTCTTAAATCAGAGAAATCATTTGGCATTGGTTTTTTGGGATTGGCTAACTTCACTTAGCATTATCTTCTCCAACGTCATCCATTTACCTGCAAATGCCATGATTTTATTCTCTT